GGGGGGGGGGGGGGGGGGGGGGGGGGGGGGGGGGGGGGGGGGGGGGGGGGGGGGGGGGGGGGGGGGGGGGGGGGAGTGAAGAGCTTGGAGGTGGCAATTCGAGCGGTAGCCAGGGCTTTTAAGTGTGTGGCTCCTGTTTGTTCGAGGGGGACCAGCCTTTGCCGAGGACCCCATTTTTGGCGTTACGGGTCTGTTTTTCATGTACCCGTGTGCCTTGGAAGTATTGACAAGTAGAGTGATAGATACCCGTTTTTTTTTCTCATTCCGCCTTTCCCTCGTTCGTTTCCTCTTGCTTGTCAGGGGAGGCGACGCAGAATCGAAGAAGGAGCTGACCCCTGCCGAAAAGAAGGCGCAAAAGGCATTGAGAGCGGCCGCGGACAAAGAGAGAAAAAAAAAAGTCAACGCGCCGGGAAGAATAAGCAAGATCGAGGTGAGGTAAAGAGGTGCTTACCGGCGGTATGTACGGACGCGATGAGTAAGTTACCGTGGGAGCTGGAGTCATCGCACACTTCCTCCACTCACTTTCATGGCTCGATTTCTCCAACAACCCGAGAGGAAAGGCTGTTGCGAAAGCAATTCGACAAGTGCAAGGAACACTTTCGAACGAGAGCTTTCCGTTCCAACATGTTCCTTCCATGCTACCCTCTTCTCTTAAATTGCCGGGGTTTTCAATATATGTTGCCGTTGTGTTTTGTTGGCCTCAGGCGTTAGTTGAAGAGTTGGATAGGAAGATCAGTGCGTTGACGGACCAGATGTACGAGGAGGGCATCGATGCGGCGACTGTGGCGAGGATCGTCAAGGATAAGGATGCCGCAGAGGCGAGATCGGCAAAGCTCTACGCAGAGGTGGGTGCTTCTTGCCGTGGGGCTTGTTTTTTGTCATGGCATCGACCGCGCTAACCGGCTGATCATTGAAAATACATGAGTCTCACTCGAAGCGGGAACAGCAGCGATAATACATGTTTTCTGCGAGAGACACACACAACGCATCACACTCTCGTGTTGCCAAATTTTGATGCCGATCATCACGTGGGCGTTGTTTGTTGTTAGGACGTGGTATCATGTAGTGGAGATAAAAACGTAGTGTTGAAGCTCAAACGAAAGGCAGGCATTGTAGATGGCGTGCAGGTGCATTGAGGAAGGTGCATCACCACCGCCCTTGTGTAGCGCAAGTGTGTATCCATACAAAGGTCACAAATCTGAATTGCACTGGCAGGACCAGCTCACCGACCACTAGACATTGAGGTAGGTGACTTCGTGATGCTACGGCAATATCTATTTGGTTTGGCCATGCCATCAATGCCATAAAGGCCATCCATGCTAGCGATGGATTCATCGACACGAACCCTTGTTTGTGGGAAGTGGTTCTTCCCTCTTTCACGCCCGTATGCGTCGACAATGATGGAGCGCATCAGATGGAAGATCTACCATCACGGGAGCGGTGCCGGATGGGTCGTCGTTCGTTGTGGTTGCCGTGTATAGGCTCTATTAATAGTGGCCATGTAGCATTCCTCAGCAGCTCGATGAAGTAGAAACGGTTAGACTAGCTCTGTGCGTGATGATCATCGAAGCAAAAAGTAATGCCCGTCAAGATCATTGCACATATTCGACGCAAACTATGCCCTACGTTACTGCTGTGGTCCGTGTGTAAGTTGTGAAGCCGCATTGTGTCGAGGAATTTTGCCGGCCTTATTCCGGGCACCCAACGCTAAGCAGAGCATGAGACGTCCCAATATCCCGTCTGTTTCACCAACCTTACACGATAGGACCACCGGCTTTACTTTTGCGGTCTTTTATAGGGACCGCTATTGTAGTGCTGTATACAGTGAGCATGACCTTCATTCCCTTTGTTCCTTCCTACGTCTCCCCCGTGTCCTTGTGCTGTTCTCGTTTGCTGGTCCGTTGGGGTCGTCAACCCTGTCCTCCCTCCCCTTGCAGTGGGAAGAGCTGGAAGAACTCCTGGCAGAGGACTAAAAATGCAATTCCTGCCTGCAGGTCTCTGGATGGACGTGATGTTTACGATGCTTACCATGGGGTGTGACGGTGTGCATCGGTGACTTGGAATCGAATTGAATTAAATCGGATTCATTCGAGTTCCGCACCTTTGGAAGTACAAAGTGTAGCTTGTTTGATTCCTGAATGGGGTAAGGGATATCGTCTATATATGTATCCTCGTAAAATAAAATAATGTGCGCCGTACGTTTCCAGCTGAGCGCTTGTTTTGCTGTGTTTTTCTCGGAGTGTCGTCGGGGTATCTGTATTTCTTCTACTACAGGGCAGGATCACGATAATCCTAGACGTGTCGTGGGTGAGTCAGGAGCGATTTAGTAGACGACAAGTAGTCGCGGTTTGATTTGATTGGTATTTTTCTTACATTTCAGTCTTGAACTCTTTTCTTCTAGTAGTCGGGTCGGTAAATATTGCTAGACAGACAGACAGACGACTGCTGTCCTGCCGATAAGTGCGGTGTGCAAGATGCTGTCGGTGATCCTTGTGTACAACTGGACGGCTGTTTGCATCGGATGTTGGATGTTGATGACTTGCTTCTCGCAGTCATCTATCCGAGAGATACTCCGTGATGGCCTCCACCATGATCCCAACATGGAGCGGTGGCTGCTGCTGGCGGTTTGAACCGTCCTCTTCGGTACAGTCGTGGTCCAGGTTTAGCGGTTAGTTACCTTCCTGCGGGATGCCCTGAATAGCGGTCCCAAAATCTCGTGGCACGGCTGCACCTCGGTAGTCCAACAGAGAGAGAGAGGAAAGGTGCCCGCAGGTTTCTGATTGGCCATTTTTTTTACAGGAACGTTCCACGAAAGGTGAAAATTCCGTGATCGACCGATTATTATGTCACATCCACGGTCATGAGATTCAAAATTTTCAAAATTTTAAATTTGCCGTAAATGACTGACTGATGACCTCACACGGCAGCCAAGGGATATCAGCCATCATCGTAGACAGGTTTCCCACCCCGTACATTCTTGATGACGGCGACCACACATACATCATCATGCTCTCACAGGTCCTTTTCTTGTTGATTGACCCCAAGCAAGTAGAGTCGGAGTTTCATGTGCTCTGCAGCCTACAGGAGCAGCAGCAGCAGCAGCAGTAACGCCACAACCACACCACACCGCATCAAGTAGCGATTGTGGCGGAATAAGGAATACCTAGTACGATCGACAATGGATCATCTAACCCTCTTCACGTGATCGAGTCGCACCCACACGACGACAGATCGATGTCGCCAACACCATCCACTGACTGACTGGGATTGTGCCCTCGGGCGAAGAGCCAAGCAAGAAGAAAGGATAAGTTGGCATAAGTCAACACGAAGATGGAATGGTCGTATTCGACTCCTGCTGCTGTTACACCACAGTATTCCATCACCAGTGGCAGCTACCATAGATTCCTCGTGGAACAGATCAATCTGTCCGTACAATCGCGAGTGGTACTGCTGTAGCCCACACGCAGACACGCACATACATCAGATGAAAGCGGTTCAATAGGTAGGCTGAAAGGTCGGTCCAATACTTTTACCTTAATGTTGGAACCTGCTCAGCTGCTGTGCCCCCTTTTCGATTTAAATTGCGAGTTGGCTCACTCACCACGAACATGGCCGAACGCANGCAAGAAGAAAGGATAAGTTGGCATAAGTCAACACGAAGATGGAATGGTCGTATTCGACTCCTGCTGCTGTTACACCACAGTATTCCATCACCAGTGGCAGCTACCATAGATTCCTCGTGGAACAGATCAATCTGTCCGTACAATCGCGAGTGGTACTGCTGTAGCCCACACGCAGACACGCACATACATCAGATGAAAGCGGTTCAATAGGTAGGCTGAAAGGTCGGTCCAATACTTTTACCTTAATGTTGGAACCTGCTCAGCTGCTGTGCCCCCTTTTCGATTTAAATTGCGAGTTGGCTCACTCACCACGAACATGGCCGAACGCACATCGACGCATCCTCATCTAAGGAACCCAGGGTAAGGTTGGCGATGGTTGGGGCGATTTTGTGGGCGCTTATCGTGTCTCTTCTACGTTGCCAAATCAATTCATCAACAACGCCTAGCAGAGGATTACTCGCCAGGTATCGTCGGCCGCTGACACAACCAGCTATCCAACGCCACCACCCTCTACATCTACAAGCGCTGTGCGCCAAGCCTCGGCGTCACGCGGGTGGATCATGCCTCTCTGCAGCACCGTCCTTGCCCAAGTTTGAAAATTGTACAGGTTGGGATCTCCTCCGAGGGGGTGCGGGTTGAACCACCTATGTTCCCGCCCAGGCGAGGAAGGGAAGGAGATACGAATCCTAAATCCCGTCCCGAAGACGGCCTGGCGCCTATAGGTGACCCCTCCAGGCCCCATGTACCGCCACCCGTTGCTCCTGCCTGCGAGGGGCTCGGCCTGGTCTACCTGCTCCACACAGCACCACCGATAGCTGGTAGCATGTGATGACGATACAGCAGCAGCCGTGGTTGCCCGTGCCATTTTCTCTTTTCAAATGAGCCAACATAATTTTCTCTTTTTTTACCCGAAGCGTCAACCACGGTGGTGGCACCGTTGACTGATGACAGTATATCTGTCAGGTGATGAGTGACTGTCCGTCTGACTGTATGGTGAAGACGCAAGTAAAAAAAATCACCCGGGTTGCACGCGGTGGAAAAAGCAAAAAAAAAGGCCCCACGGGGCTCCGTACATGGTAGCTCAGCAGACACGGTACCCGGGAAGGGGCCAGCACAAAAAAACTCGCCGCGCCATGCGCGCATGCCACGAGAGCATTACCTTTGGGGCCAGAGTTCTCAGCACACACAGCCCGGACCGCGACAAAGCCTACGGAGTACAGGAAGGAGATCACGTTGAACCTCGGTGAGTGGTTGGTATGTCCTCGTTATTCTCTTGGAGCGCGTAAGGTGGAGTGCTTTCGTCAAGAGTTTTTTCCGGCACCCTCCGTAAATGACAGCAGCGCCGTCGCACGAGAAGGTCATCTTCAGACGCTAGGTCGGCCCCGAGGAACGAACGAAATCGACTGGCGATTTCGTTCCCCAGTAGGAATGTGACAAAAGAAGCCTCCAGGGGTTGCCCTAATTTTGGATCGCCACTACCTGTGCCGTAGTCGCGACGAATTGAACACCATGTTCGTGCGGTGTATCTTGCGGATTCTCCACCCCCTGCGTCGGGTCTCGTGTGTTTGTAGTGAGGGGTAAGGCGGTTGTCACGATGACACCAGCGGAGCTCACTCGCACTATGTAAAACTGAGCCTTGGGCCATGTCTAGCAATAGTTCACCACTATCAGCATCGCATAAACCATGGGCCGTCCCTGCTGTATTTCCATTTGGCAGGAATGTTCTCGCCGAGAGCGGCGGCGACCTGCAGTGCCTGCCGTCGCCAAGACGATGGTGCAGGTCTCCGCCAGCCTAGGCTGAGGGTTCGGGATAGAATTCAAGAGTTCAGCATGGAAGTCAGTGTCTCCCAGCGTTTCCCGCAACTAGAGTTTTCGGT